ATATTGTCAGGAGGGACCAGTCGGTGGAGAAGGATATCATGTTTGGTAAGGTGGAGGGTCAGAGAAAAAGAGGAAGACCCCCAGCGAGATGGATTGGCCAAGTGGCAGCATCGATGGGCTCAAGTGTGGCAACAATTGTCAGGTTGGCCCAGGACCGGGCAGTGTTTCGTTCTGCTGTGTATAAGGTCGCTATGAGTCGGTACCAACTCGATGGTACCTAATAAAAACAACAACAGCAAAGTCAGAGATGATGAAATAGAAATCTACCAATTTGTTCAGTCTGAAAGTAAACGTGCAGTCATGATACACTGATAATTACCGGTGCTTGGAATGTGAATGTTAGAAACAAAGAGGAAGGATGAGTAGCTGAAAAATATGACCTTGGTGATAGAAACGATGTTGGGGATTGCAAGATAGAATTTTGCCAGAAAAATACCTCTTTTAAACAACATAAAAGACAACTATACTCATGGACTTCACCAGATGGAATACACAGGAATCAAACTGGTTCCATCTGTGGAAAGGGATGGTGGAAAAGCTCCATATCAGCCAAAACAAGGCCAGGGACCGACTGTGGAACAGTCCATCAATCGCTCACATACTGAAGAAAATCAAACCAAATCCATGAAAGCCAAAATACGAACTTGGATAGAACTCACCTGAATGTAGAGATACTAATGATTGCAGACCAGAAGAGTTGTGGGATGACATCAAGAACATCACACAGGAAGAAGGCAAAATGTCATTAAAAACACAAGATAGAAAGAAAAGACCAAAAGATATGTCTGAAGAGACTCTGAAATTGCTCTTGAGTGTAGAGAAGCTAAAGCGGATGGAAGAAATAAGGAGGTAAAAGAGATGAACAGAAAATATCAAAGGCTAGCTCAAGAAGACAAAGCCAACTATTATAAGAAAATGTGCAAAGACCTGGAGTTAGAAAACAAAAAGGGAAGAACACACTCAGCATTTTTCAAGCTGAGGGAACTGATGAAAAAATTCAAGCCTATATCCTTCAATTTGCAAAACTGAAGGATTCTATGGGCAAAATATTGCATGCAGACAGCATCAACAGAAGATGGAAGGTATACACAATCATTGCACCAAAAAGAAACGGTCGATGTTCAGCCATTTCAAGAGGTAGCATATAATCAAGAGTCAATGGTTCTGAAGGAAGAAGTCCAAGGTGCATTGAAGTCATTGGCAAAGGCGGCGGCTCCGGGAATTGAAGGAATACAAATGGAAACCTTTCAACAAAGTGAGGCAGCACTGGAGAAGCTCACTGATCTATGCTGAGGAATTTTAAAGGTAGCTACCTGGTCAGCCAATTGAAATAGATCCCATTTGCGCCTATTTCATAGAGCGGTGACCCAATGGCATAAGATAATTTAACAGGGAACCGCCATAAGTTAAAACTGGATGAAGAAGAGGACTTGGACTTTGGGATACCATGGCTTAAAGCACAGAATACTAGAAAAATGTTGACTTGTGCTTTATTGACTATGCAAAGACTTTCGACTGTGTGGATTATGACAAGGTATGGATAACATAGCGAAGACTGGGTGTTCCAGAACACTGAACAAGGGGACCCAGCATGACTTAAAATCAGGAAAGGTGTGCGCCAGGGTTGTAGCCTTTCATCACACCTATTCCATCTGTAATACAGGTAGCTAGATTATATGAAGCAGACATGGCCCCTGGATGGGCATGGCAAAGGCAAAGAAAGAAAGAAATGAACCCACATGTTGCATTAGGTAAACCTACTGCAAAACTCCTCTTTAAAGTGTTAAAGAGCAAAGATGTCTGTCACGTTGAGGACTACGGTGCACTTGACCCATGTTGCGGTGTTTCCAATCATCTCATATACATGAGAAAGTTGGACAACGAATAAGGAAGTCACTTTGACCCACAAGGCTGATGATTCCAGCTCACCAGCCACTCCTTGGAAACCCTATACAGGGTTGCTATGGGATCAGAACCGACTTGATGGCTCTTAACCACAACTTAACAATCGATGTATTTGATTATAGTGTTAGAGAACAAACAACTCTGTGTTGGAAGAAGTGCAGCCAGAACGTCCCTTAGACATAAGGCTGGGGAGACTTTGTCTCACATACATTGGACATGCTATCAGTATCTGGAGATGGGCATCATGGTTAATAAAATGGAGGTTCAGAAAAAATGAAGAGCCCCCCCCACCCACCCACCCACCAAGATGGACAGACACAGTGGCAGCAGCTATGGCTCAAACATAATTATGAGGTTGGTGCAGGCCTGGGCACTGTGTTTTTGTTGTTGTTCTATTATAAATAACGCCCCTGTGAGTCGGAACTGACTGATGGGTACCTAACAACAAAACAACAACATGCAGACTTCAAGGAAAACTCTTTTAGGATGAGAAGCAAAACAGCTCTGACAATATTAGTCCTGAGACAGCCACCGCAGTTTTGTGAGCTGAGAACAGTAGCACTGTTCATATTAAATTCTAGTTTAGTCTTCACTGACAGTTTCCAACTCATTCTGCTCCCGAGAAGGCCCTATTTTGTATTATTGAAAGCCTTCTTTCTAGTGCGTTTGGGGGAATATACTTTGTTACAATGATTGTTGTTGAGATTGGTAGCTGTCATTGAATGAGTTCTGACTCATAGCGCCCCTATGCCCAGTCCTGTACCCTAACCCTAAAAATTATTTTTGTATTTTAGGCCACTGCTGCTGCCACTGTGCCAATCCATCTCACTGGGGGGCTTCCTAGATATATTTTTTACCCCATTACTAAGTATGATACCCCTTCTCAGGGACTGGTCCATCGTAATAATGCCTCACCATGCTCCCTTCCAAGGGACAGTCTGCCTTTAGTGGTTTTTGTGTAAATTTGAGTAATAATCCTCAAGGTGATATCATTGCTCTTGAACACATTACGGAGATCTTGTGAAGCAGATTCGTCTAAGTATGGTGAAGGAATACAACCCTGTTGCACACCTTTCCTGATTGCAAACCATTCAGTGTCCCCTTGCTCTGGTCTAGTGACTGCCTCTCGGTCTCCGTACAGGTTCCTCGTGAGCACTATCAAGTGTTTCCATTCTTCGCAATGTTATCCATAGCTGCTCAGGCTACACAGCCGAAGCCTTTGCGTAGTCAGCTTTGTGGTATTCTCTGCTTTCAGCCAAGATCCACTGTCAGCAATGACATCCCTAGTTCCATGTCCTCTTCGGAGTCCAGCGGGAGTTTCTGGCAGTTCCGGTTGAAGTACTGTCGCAAATGTCTTTTAGAAAAGTGATATTAATGCGATTGTTCGATGATTTCTGCATTCAGTTGGGTTGCCTCTCTTCGGAATGGGCACAACTATGGGTCTCTTCCAATCGGTTGGCCAGGTAGCTAGGTGCCTTCCAAATGTCTTGGCATAGGTGAGTGAGTGCGTCCAGTGTTACGGGAGTTTGCTGAAAGCTTTCCATTTGTACTCCATCAAGTCTTGGAGCCGTGTTTTCACCAATGCCTTCAGTACCACTGGCTCTCGAAATGGCTGAACATGGGCCATTTCCTTTTGGTACAGTGACTGTGTGTATTCCTTCCATCTTCTCTTGATGCTTTCTGGATCATTCAATATTTTGCCCATAGAATACCTTGATATTGCTGGTCAAGGCTGGATTTTTTTTCTTGCATGTTTTCCCATTGGATTCTCTAACTCCAGGTCTCTGCACATTCCTCTTCTCGAGCTGTCTTTTGGAATTTGCTGTTTAGGTCTTTACTTCCTCAGTTTTTTCATTCACTTTAGCATCTCTACACTCAAGAGCAAGTTGTGTAGTCTCTCCTGACATGTATTTCAGTCTTCCTTTCTTTTCAGTGGCTTATGTTCTTGATGTCATCTCACAACTCTTCTGTCCTTAGTGTCTACTGCATGAAATCTGTTCTTCGGATGGTCTCTAAATTTAGGGATAGGTTCGACTTCATATGTTGCCTCTTGTGGACTTGTTTTCATTTCCTCCAGCTTCAGAAGGAACTTACTGATGGTCTATCCCATAGTCTGGTGATATTGAGCTTTTCCACTGTCTCTTCCCACAGATGTAGTCGATTTGGTTCCCGTGTATTCCTCTGGTGTCTTATGTTGTTTAAAAAAGGTATTTGCAATGAATAAGTCATTGGTCTTACAAAATTCTATCATGCACTCTCCACCATCATTTCTATCACCAAGACCATAATTTCCAAGTGAGTTTTCCTCTGTTTCTAACCACTGCATTCCAATCACCAGTAATTATCAATACAGCTTGATTGCATGTTCATCAATTTCAGACGGAAGAAGTTGATAATCTTCAATTTCATCACCATTGGCTTTAGTGGTTGGTGTGTAAATTTGAATATTAGTGGTATTAACTGGTGTCCCTTGTGGTGGTCGTTACGTGCCGTGGAGTCGGTTCCGACTCATAGTGACCCTGTACAGGGTTTCCAGGCTGTAAATCTTTATGGGAGCAGAAACCCTCCTCTTTCTCCCGCAGAACAGCTGATAGTTTTGAACTGCCAAGCCTGAGGTCAGGAGCCCGATTCGTAATCACTACGCTACCAGAGTTCCTTAGTGTTCCCTGTAGGCATATGGATATTTTCCTATCACAGACAGCATTGCATTTCAAGATAGATCACAGACAGCATTATATTTCAAGATAGATCTTAAAGTGTTTTGTTTTTTTACAATATTGACTGCGACACCATTCCTTTTGAATTTGTCATTCCCAGCATAGTAAATCATGTGCTTGTCAGATTCAAAATGGCCACTACCAGTCTAGTTCAGCTCACTAATGCCTAGGATGTCACTGTTTGTGATCCCATTTATGGATTCCATTTCATTACTTTTATAAGTATCATTGTTAACACATGTGAGTCTTCAGAGTGAACGTTTACTTGAAAGCAATATTCAGCAATCAGCAATTTTCCGTTTTAATTATGGATGTTGTTGGTAAGTGTGTGTGTGTGTGTGTGTGTGTTGTTAAGTGCCATCGAGTCTGTTCTGATGCATAGCAACCCTATATAGGGTTTTCGAGGAGCGGTTGGTGAGTTTGAACCACTGAACCTGTGGTTCAAACTGACTTTGTGGTTGAGTGCTTATCCTACAGCACCACACCAGAACTCCAAACCCACCAGCTGCTCCTTGGAAAGCCCGTACAGGATCGCTGAGTCGGGACCAACTCAATGGCACTTAACAACAATGTTGTTGTTGTTGTTAAGTGCTGTTGAATCGATTTCTATCTTGAACCACTGACCTTGCAGTTCAAATGACTTTGCAGTCTGATGCATTCTTCATCCACAGCACCACACCAGGACAACTATATATATATGAATATATATGTATATATATGTATATAAGGAGCTCTGGGAGCATAGTGGTTACGAATCAGGTTGCTAATCT